CCCGGCCGGCCCCAGGCCGCTGGGAGGGGCTTAGTCTGAGATGGGAGACTGCTGGTGAGGCAGAGCCCCAGGGACAAGCACCCGGAGGAAGAGGGGGCCTGAGATCACCTCTGGGTGTGCTGCACCCCGACGCCGGCCCGGCGCTCACCTGTGTACAGGTACTGCAGCAGGGCCCCAAAGGCCACGGGGTTGACCTGCGGGCAGAGACAGCCAGGGAAGGGGTCAGGGCAGCCACCCCACACAAGCCCCAGCAGACCGCTGCCCCGGCCCCGGGAGGGGCGCACCAGGGGGTGTCTGAGGACCACGACGCTCTTGCCCTTCCATTTGGTGTCCAGCATGTTGGCGAAGTAGGTGCTGCGAGCGCCCAGGATGCAGCGATGGGCCCGGAAGGACCTCCCGTGCACTGTGAAGACCACGTCACTGTGGAGGCCTTGCTCCAGGAGCCTGGGGGGAGGGGTTGCTCAGCCCTGCACCCCCGCGTCTCACTCCAGCCCCCATCCCGTCCAGTAGGGAGCCCTGAAGCCCCACAGACCCGCGGGGCGGGGCTGCCTCCATCTCACCGCAGCAGGAAGCTGGAGTAGGGGTCCCGCCGCCTGCAGGAGGCCGGCACCTGCTTGTAATCGCGCAGCGCCCGGCGGATGGCGTCGCTCAGCGCCCCGTAGAGGCAGCGCTCCCCATCAAAGGTGTTGGCCTCGCAGCGGGCTCCTGGGGACAGCAGGGCTCACCAGTCAGCAGGGCCATGGGGCTGCCCCTGCAGCTAGGGGCAGGGGGGCAGAGAGGAATCCTCATCTCCCCTCCTCCCCACACGCGGGGCCCACAGGCCCTGGAGACCCCTTCCCAAATTACCCTAGGCCCACTCTGACCCCAGCACCCTCCCTGCCAGGCCCAGGCACACAAGCATAGCCACGTCCACACACACCACAGACTGCACAGACAGAAGGCTTGGAGGTGGCCCTGCTCCGTGCGCTGGTGCAGAGGCTGCACCCTAAAAAGGCAGATGGGTCCCTGTCCTCACTGAACTGAGGTCCCACAGGCAGAAAGACAAGTTAGCAGATGATGTCAAGTGCGCTGAAGAAAAAGCCAAATGAAGGGTGACAGTATTGGCAGCTGCCACAGGAGGTCACTATGGCCGTGACAGAGGGCAAAGGCCTGAACAAAGAGAAAGGGGAAGGTTCATCTCAGGGTCACAAGGAGGGCTGAACATTCGCAAATCAACCTGACCCACCACATCAACGAGAAAGGTCCAACCACATGAGCATCTCAACAGATGCAGAAAAAGCACTTGATACATTTCAGCATCCATTCATGATAAAAACTCACCAAAATCGGTAGAGAACATAGCACAGTAAAAGCTAGTTATGACAAACCCACAGCCAACATAGTACTCAATGGTGAAAAGCTGAAAGCCTTCACACCACACAGAGAATAAACTCAGAGTGGCTTAAAGACCTGAACAGAAGACAAGACGCCATACACCTGCTAGAAAGCAAAACATTCTCTCACATGAATCACAGCAGTGTTCTCCAAGGGCAGTCTACCCAGGCAATGTAAGTAGAAGCACAAGTGAACAAATGGGCCCTAACTACACTTACAGGCTTCTGCACAGCAAAGGAAACCATGGACAAGACGAAAAGACAGTCTACCAAATAGGAGAAAATATTTGCAAAAGATATATGTCATAACAGACAGCTCATACAACTCAACAGAAAAAAATCTAATCAAAAAATGGGCAGGAGACTAAACATTTTTCCAGTGAAGACATACAAGTGGCCAAGAGGCACGTGAAAAAATGCTCAGTATCACTAATTATCAGAGAAACACAAATCCAAACTACAATGAGGTATCACCTCACACCAGTCAGAATGGCCGTCATTAAAAAGTCCACAAACGGTAAATGCTGGAGAGGGCGTGGAGAAAAAGGAACCCTCCTACACTGCTGGTGGGAATGTAGTTCAGTGCCACCACTATGGGAAACTATGGAGATTTCTTTAAAAAAAAATTAACAGATTTACCATATGATCCAGCAGTCCCACTCCTGGGCATATATCTGGAGGGAATGCCAATTTGAAAAGACACCTGCACCCCAATGTTCACAGCAGCACGATTTACAACAGCCAAGACATGGAAGAGACCTAAATGTCCATCAACAGACGACTGGATAAAGAAATTGTGGTACATTTATACAATGGAATATTACTCAGCCATAAAAAGGACTAAAATAATGCCATTTGCAGCAACATGGATGAACCTAGAGATCATTCTAAGTGAAGTCAGGAAAAGAGAAAAATACCACGATATCACTTATATGTGGAACCTAAAGTATGGTACAAGTGAACTCATTTACAAAACAGAAGCAGACTCAGACATAGAAAACAAACTTACGGTTACTAGCGGGGAAGGAAGGTGGGTGGAGGGATAAATTGGGAGTTTGGGACTAGCGGATCTGCACAACTAGATATAGGATAAACAACAAGGTCCTACTGTAGAGCACAGGGAACTGTATTCAATAGCTTGCAATAGCCTATAATGAGAAAGAATATATATATGTATGTGTAACTAAGTCACTATGCTGTACACCAGAAACTAACACAACAGTGTAAATCAACTACACTTCAATTAAAAAAAAGATCTGGGAAAGGGCCGTCTTAGCAGGAGGAGGGGCAAGTGCAAAGGCCCCGAGAAGGAGCAAGCTTGGCAGTGCAGCACCAAGGAGGTGGCACGTGAGGGGCCGAGGGAGAGAGCGCAGGCGCCGGGGGTGCGGGTCATGACGTGCGCCCAGGAAGGCATGTTCCGGTTCTACGGGACACGCAGGGGAGAGGTGATGCCTGGCCGGGGTGTCTGCGTAGAGGAGAGGTTCCAAAAGCAGGGGAGCAGCACTTGCTGAGGGGTCCGGATGAAGCAGGCCCCCGCCTGCCCCGCCCGCCCCGCCCCGCCCCGCCCCACTCACCGTTGGCCAGCAGGTAGCGCACCAGCTCCTCGTGTCCACAGAGGCAGGCATAGTACCTGAGGGGGAGGCAGGCACGGGGCTATCAGGCCTGCAGGCCCTCCGCCGCCCAGACCACCCGCCGCCGGCACTCACAAGGGGGTGCTGTCCCACTTGTCCCGCACGTTCACCTCCACGTCTCGCTGCTCCAGCAGGTACCTGGGCGGGGAGGTCAGAGCCCAGGTCAGAACGGTTCCCGATCTGGAGGAGACCTGCAGAAGGGGAAGGGGCAGCCTCCCCCAGGTGAGGGCAGGTGACCATGGACCAGAGTAGGAAAGGCACTGAGGCAAAGGGACCAGCACAGACGGGGTGTGGAAATGGGGACTCCCGGGCGTCAGAGAACAGGCCCCAGGGCCGGAGAGGCTGAGAATCTGGGCTGAAGGCATTTGGGAGAGGGGAGGGCGCCTCTGGCTGCTGGGGGTGGCAGGTTGGCCTCCCGGTTGGGGGAGGGGGGGAGGGCATCTTGGTAGTGTGGAAAGGAGAAGTGGACAAACTAGAAGGTGGAAGTCAGGAGACGCAATAACCACAGGATGTGTGAGGGGGTTCACCGAGGATGGTGGGGAGCAGGCTGGTGGGGGGATGCCCAGGTCGGATGGCAGAGTGCTCCGAGAAGCACTGCGCTTTGGGGGCTCTCAACCCCCAGGTGGCACCCAGGGCTGGGGAGGGACCCGGGGCAGCGTGGGGGTCAGGAGGGCTGGGACTAGCCCAGGGGAGGTCGGAAGTGGGGGGTGGGACCCGGGACTGGGGGAGAAAGAACCAAAGAAGACCGGTGTCTCATATCCCAAACGGGCAGCCCCTCCCTCCGCACCCGGCCCTCAGCGACGCGACTCCGGAGCCCGATTTGCTTCAGCTGCGTTTAGGAGATTCCGAATCTCCAAGAACCAGAGACAGATTCTGGGCCCGAGGCGTTCCCAACGCTGGGTCCACAGCGCAGCAGAGGAGCCGCGTCCGGAAACCCCAGGCCCGCCCCCCAGGATCTGGCCTCCAGGCCCTTCTCTTCGCCCTTCCTCCTCCTTCGGGCGTCCGCGTCGCAGTCCTCCCCTCCAGGACCCCCAGGAGCAGCCACGCCAGCACCTGCCTCCGCGCCCCGCTCCGAGGGCGGCTGCGACCGGGGCGGCCCTGCTTTGGCGCCGGGAGCCTGCGGGCGGGGGTCTGCGGCGGGG